AAAGGATCGAGTAACAATCTAGCGTGGATGTAATGGCACCTTTTCTGCTCTATAAGGCATGCAGTCGGTAGATTTCCGGACCACAAGCAACCAATTGCGTCCACCAGTGTTTCGACCGTACGGCAGCGACTAGGAAAGTATAGATATCGATCTAAAATCTGCCAAGTGTCTGCAAGCGTCCAGCAGCAGTAGTAGAGAGTATGGGGCGATAGGAGGGGGGGGTACCAGCTGTCTGCTACTCTCCTATATCCCCCTACCAGCTGTATGCTACCCCACTATCGCCTCATACTGGCCACTTCCGGACGCAAGTAGACGCTGGCAGAGCTGGCAGACGCTAGCAGACGCTAGATCGATATCTACACTTTCCTAGTCGGTGACGCTGCCGGACGCTCGGAACGCTGGTGGGTACCATTGGTCGACGCTGCCGCAAAGTATAAACGCAGCCTTAGCGGAGCATACATAGAACACTGTAGCTGTTGAAACATGAACATCGGTAAAAATGATCAGGATAAAGAGAATGGTCTAAGGATCGACGAATCGGCCGCTAGCAAGAAAGTGAACAAGCGGTTGCTTCCAATCAATATACGGTAACACTTTTAATGTGATAGTGCCCTCCTTCATACTTCACTACATACTTCAACACACCCACTTTGCATAATAAGGTGATTTCCCACTTTTCCCTCGGTGCACTTGGCAGCCCGGTCCTGCACTGGCAGAGAGTGTACCGCTTTCGTCACACGAACGCGCGAGATAAATCGATCATTCACGCGTGACCTTCTACTAGTTTGACGTTTTCATGCTACTAGACAACGAATTACGCCACTAGTTATTGCGCGTGTTGCCTGCAACGTCGTAGGACGATCTCATGTGCTCGGCACAGCGAACGATAGCGTGTAGGGATTTTGCAAGGCCACTGGTCGTCTGCTCTCCCTGGGTAGCTTTCTGGAAACAAGCAGAGATAGCAGTTTACTCCGCAGGACAAGGTGCATTTTAGCACAGCTTAAAATTTACTAGCGAACCATGTGCAGTGGTGCAAAAGCTCTTCGTTCAAAGCATACCGTAATCCTAATTTTGTAATCACAGTTTTTACGATCAGTTTTCTGTTACAAGTTTTGTTCCAGTGTGCCGGTGAGTCCGATGAATTCGCACAATGAGGCTGTCTGACTGTCAGAGAAGGTTCCTTTTGCTTTTCTCTCATGGGAAGTCCTTCATCGGCTACTGAACATCGGCTTCCAAACTGAACACCCACCAACTTTGATAATGGTTGATTGCGAGAAGTTGAGTCGGGGCACACGGGGACGACGCTTGCGTAGAATAATTCGTAGGACTGGAATACATCTGACCCTCACCAGTAATTTTTTCGGAGGGCTCATTCCTGTTTCAGTCCACCTCGGTTTTTTTTTCTGCTGTATAGCTGTTAGACTGGAGTTGAACCAGATTCTAGAGAATCCCTCCCTCCCCCACCACTCCCTACCCGTTCCCACCTTCATGTCGGGGTCATTCGTTTCATTTCATGGAGGGGGAAAGAATTTCATTTCACCGACGAGGTCTTTTTCCACGACATATTGCTTGACCTCTAAAGATAGGGAGGCGGGTCGTGTTTGGCCGCCGGGAGAGGAAGGGGGTAGTAGTTTAGGCTGAGCTTTATTTGATAGTTGTTTTTCTCGTCTTCACGGACGTTGTGGAGTTTGATTTTTCCCGGTTTCACGGCGTCTGTAAAGGGGGGAGGGTCGTACGTTGGTCATGTTGGGAGAGGCGAGGTCGTATTACGCGTTGGCGTTGTAGGAGTCGGTTTGTGAGTGGTGTGTTTCCGCCCCCGCTAAAAAAAAGCGGGGTCGTAGCAGACTTCGACTAAAATGTCCAACGCGATATGTGGCCCTGAGAGGACCAGCCTCACCCATAACATCTGCTGACAGGCTCCATCATCGTACCTGTCTCACTGAGCTACTTACATTCTGAGGAGGAAGCAGAAGAGTGGTACTATGTAGAGGACAAGTTAGCGATGTGAATCCTGGGCAAGCTGTACAGCCACTTGCCTGAACTATTTTACTGGGCAATGCGAAAAAAAAAACAAGGGAAAATTATAGTCGCAACAGTGGCAATCGAATAGAATGTGTGGTACGACTAGACAAGCTGTGCAGTCACCACCATGGGCTCTGTGTCCTTGCCATAGGTGAGGTGAATGGGCCTGTAGCGTGCCACTACGCTGCTCCAAGAAGCATGAAATTGGCTGCAGCTTAGTTGATACCTGGATGCGGTCTCCATACTCCGTCTGCGGCTGCTCGCTGCTGCCTCTCCATATGTAGTTCACTTACGGTCAGTCACACGCCGTCACGGGCCAAATCCTCTAATTGTCTGCGTACTCTCACTTCTGCTTTTCTCCACCGCCCACTTACAGTCGTCATCCTTGCACTTGATAGTCAATGTCAGTGCGGCTGCGTGCGGCGCGGTCGCCCGCACCCGTACTGCACCAATCGTTGAACCAGGAAGTGACATTACTGTATTATATCCTTCGTGTTACTCGTTTTCTATCACTTTTTGTCGCATACGCGTTTCAACGAAAAGGCTGAGAAGGCTTCAAACAGTGTGCACGCTCCTTCTCGCCGACACGCCCCTATCAAGTGCAAGGATGACGACTGTACGTCATCGCTACGTCATTCTTGCTTCCACGCCCAGTGCCGCATTCTGAAGAGGAGACCCGCGACACCTCCGCTACCACTTCCTTCCACTCCCGTCTCGCACAGCATCTTAGAGGGTGGAAAGAAGATGACTCGCTTCCCGCATCTGCCCAGCACATCCTGCTTTCATATGACAAGGACACGCCCTATAAGTAGCAGACGCTTCAAGTAGTCTCCTGAAGACATTTTCCGCAATCAACCGTTACGGATAGCAGGCGCTCAATCATGAACCAGTACCTCATGAGTAACTCCGAAGTAGAGAAAGAAGCAAAAAAAGAGAACGGGGTCTCTGTTTAGAGAGCACCCTGAACAGACCCCTGCAGTGGAGCCGGCGCCTTGGAAGAGTTTGTCAAACGTTAGACAAGACCAATGAGCAGGATTCGCAGCCAGCTGCGCGGAGAGGAGCATAGGAAATCGTCTTACGACGCTCCAGGCAACAATATGTACACATGCGATTCCGTTTGCCAGTCGTTATCTCGCAAAGTTACAATCAGGTACAGCATAGCGGCATGCGGCGAAAGTCGGTGTGAGTACGAGCCCCCCCTCTCGAATGGTGGCGCGCCACTACCCCCCCCCTTTTCGCCCGTTGGTACGACCCCCGCCCTTCAGCGTCTACCGCTCTCGTCGCCGACTGACCGCAGGGTATGGTACAGTCGTCATCCTTGCACTTGATAGTCAATGTCAGTGCGGCTGCGTGCGGCGCGGTCGCCCGCACCCGTACTGCACCAATCGTTGAACCAGGAAGTGACATTACTGTATTATATCCTTCGTGTTACTCGTTTTCTATCACTTTTTGTCGCATACGCGTTTCAACGGGGGCGAGGGGGGTCGCGGGGGGGGGTATACAATAATTATGCAACGTATATCCGGCGGGTGTACAGGGTGCATATAATGCATATAAAACAAAAATTAATACGACCCCCCACTTTTCCACAAGATAAAATCAACTATCAAAATAAATTTGTCTCCAACAAATACGACCCCCCTCCCCCAAGCAAAAGTACGCATTACCCCTCTATGTGTTCACACAACGATGCTGTGCCCTGGTTACAATACGGCTTGCACCGAGTGCAAAACTCACGCGTCTAAAGCTCCCGCTCGCCATTTCTAGTGACGAAACCTATATCCCGTCTGCCGAGTCGACAATAATGCCAAATGCCGGACGCACATTTCGCTAATCAATTGATTCGCGGAAAGTGTCTTTAAGTCTGTATTGAGCTTCGGTTTGCGCTGGAAGGTGACATCATGAATAGAACGCTAAGCATGTTGGATTCTGAAGCTGCTTCAAAATGGCACAATAAGCTTCATAAAAGGTACAGGAGAAATCACATAGTTTCTTGAACATGAATGCAAATATTACAATTTGAGTTCATTTCTTATTTTTTCTTGTCTGCACCGAACACATCTGCATTCATTCCAGCAAGTGTTTGATAGTTGGGATCGAACGTTCCTGAACAATTATCGATTAAAAGGAAATGAAACTTATTGATGACCAATGTCTCTGCCTGACACTCACCCGCCATGCCCCCAACGGCTGGTTTCTGGGGAGCTGGAGGACCACCGCCACCAACACCACCAGGTGCCTTCTTTTTATCGGGACCAAATACGTCGCCTTGAACTCCCGCCAGAGTCTGGTAGTTGGGGTCATACGTTCCTGCAAAGGTTTGCTGAATGTCGTGAGCTACTTGAAGATACTGATTCAGTCTCCAACGTCTCTGAATTGTACCGTCATGATCCGTGCAAACGAAATAGCGTGTAAAGGGACATGGCTTGGGTTGCAGCCAGGTCAGATTTCCCATCAGCTGCATCGGGATCAGGATGGTATCGTTTGCGGAAAAACTGCACCACGATTGCACTGCAATCCACGCCACATCACAAGTCCTATCGTTTGTATGGATCCTGGCTGTACAGGAACCTTTTCCCGCAATGAGTTGTGGCCGGATGTGTAGATGCATGCCACTCTAACAGTCCTTCAGTAAACTGCTTCACTGAAGGAACCGTCGTTCTAGGCTGTCTTTGAATTCGGGTCGCTTAAAATGCCTCAGGAAGTCACTGAGGGGCGCAGCTAAATTTGAAGTTGGTACAAATAGTGGGCACTCTTCGCGTTTTTGATGAACACAGCCTTCTTCGGACATGGAGGTCTTGTCCGCGAGCATGGAAGATGTATTACTTTCTCGGCTAGAAATAAGGAGGGAACAGCCACCCCGCGGCGAGGCCGCCGCCCCGCCCACTGTCCACGGCAACGCCCAACTTCTGTTACTGAGGGCTTTTTAGTGATGCGATCGTACCGCTGCTAATTCCTTCCGAGGGGTTGGGAGAAAGGTCGATAAGGAAAAGATTTGACACCACAACCACGCCTTTTTTTCACCTAGTGGCACAAGTTGCCGAGCACAAGTTTTATGAGGGGCATTCTGACGCTCTTTCTTGCTCTTTTTTTTTCTTTTTTTGAGTTGATTGCCTACTTGTCTTTCCTTCTGAGCCCGCCAACTTACCATTTTGAACACGGAGTACGGCCTTTAACTCGTGCAAAGTCGGTACCAGGGACGCTTACTCCTGTCGTTTCCAGACGGCTTTTTCCTTCAGTAGGAACTCAACAAGGGCAAGTCCTGACAGGAAAATTCGTTGCAAATGATGACCGTCTAAAAGTTCCTCCTCTAGTACGACTCATTCCCTCCATCCCCCCCCCCCCGTCCCCCATCCCTACTTGGAAGACGATTTGTTCCCTGGGCAGCACTGCTCAAGACGAAAATGACTGATCTGGGCAAAAGGAGGTAGGATATCGATGATATCGAACAAGTTGCCGCAATCACATTTCATCCGCTTCCTAAGTGATGACTGGTTGCTGACATATCACGACATCTCGTGCTCATGACATCCTCCTATGTCCAACGAAACTACGTGGCTCTTACCTGCCATGCCTCCTACAGCTGGCTTTTGAGGTGCAGGAGCTCCAACAGGAGCAGCGGGTTTCTTCTTATCTGCCCCAAATACATCACCTTGCACGCCGGCCAAAGTTTGGTAATTCGGGTCATAGGTCCCTGAATCAACGTTGTTTGAGCATATGTTTAACGAATACATAATGGTTACAGGAGCAGACCAGCGATTCCTCCCTGGGCTGGCGCTTTTGGCAACGGTTGAGCAGGAGCTGCAGGAGGAGGTGCCGGTGCCGCTGGTCTGGCGGAGCCCACTGCAACAATCGATAATTTATACTTGAAGAGCTGAACGAAAAGGCTTAGGGAGCGTTCAGACTTCGCGACGGCAGCGCTTTGGTCGCGCGATTCGACGATCGATGCGCATGCTTTCGGCTGCATCGATCGCGTCGAACGCGCGACCGAAGCGCTGCCGTCGCGAAGTCTGAACGCTGCCTCAAGAGAACGACTATTACAAAGAAGATGCTCACTAGCTGTGTTACGTTCATCATCATCTTTATCCTAGAAACCTGAGGTATAATAGGCAATGAAAGCATACAACTTATCTTATGCTTACCCGTTTTGATCCGCAAAAAGTAATTACGTATATAGCTGATAAATAGACCAACAATGCGTTGAAAATGCATAATTGCCAACTGCCAACCAACTCATACGCGCTCATGACTAGGAATGACCATGAACTCACTGCTATGAATGAACCGTTCAATGGATAAAGGATAAAGTCTTCGCCGTTGATCAATCCCTTTGTGGGATGCGGCACGCATTCTACTTCCATTCAGAATCGTAGTGGCTTATTGAATGCGATGTGGCCTATACAATGACTTGCGGTGGCCAGCCGATGTACAAGTCAGTGTTTTATCCTCCCACGAGACCAGGCTACCAATTTACCGTCCCCGGAGGGTAGAAGGCTTGGTTGGCCTAGGCGGGAAGTCGACCCGGGATTTGAACCCAGGACCGCGCGAGTGGTGAGCGCGCCACTTGTCACTACACCACCTCCTGCACGTTCAATGGATAGTTGAAGAAAGACGAAATCAGTTGATGCCTTAAGTGTTTGTAAGTCCGCACTTTGACAAAGGCGGGCACTGTTACACCATGCACTACTCGAGCGCGGGGACTGTCTTTAAGTGTTTGTAGGCGCAGTTTGACGACGGGGGGGCATTTTGCACTTTGCTACTTCCCATCGACGTGTCGACCTATCTAGACAGCCTCTTCTCGAGTTGACAGGTTTTAACATGATGGCTTGACGACCTTGTTCCAGCTTCACAAGAGTTCACAGGTTTCGCCAGAGTGAGACAAACCGGAACTAAGGAAGCAATGATAGTACAAAATGCCCCCCCCCCCCCGTCGTCAAACTGCGCCGTGTTTGTATAACGATCCAATGAGGAGCGCGCGCGTAGTTATTACATGTGTTGTAGCATGAGTACTGATTGGTGTGAATCCTCCTGCCACGTGAATTGAATCTATAAAGCACACCCAAGATTGGAACGCACCAACTTACGCTTCAGCATCTCCATTTTTGCCAGTGAATGGAA